GAGGTTAGGAGTTTTCATGGATTGGCTAGTTTTTATAAGCGTTTTATTAGGGATTTTAGCACAATCACCACATCACTAACCGAGATTGTCAAGAAAAATGTTGTGTTTCAATGGGAGGTAGAACAAGAACATGCATTCAACACTATCAAAGATTGTTTGTGTAAAGTACCGATTTTAATACTTCCTAACTTTGACAAAACTTTCAAGATTGAGTGTAATGCATCATGAATAGGTATTGGAGCAATCTTAATGCAGGATAAGATATCTATAGCCTACTTTAGTAAGAAGCTAAGTGGTGCAGCTTTGAACTATACTACGTATGACACGGAGCTCTATTAACTTGTTCGAGCCTTGGAGACATGACAGTATTACTTGTGGCCAAAAGAGTTTGTAATTCATTATAATCATGAATCACCAAAACATTTGTAGGGTCAAGGTAAGTTAAACAAACGACATGCACACTGGATGAAATTCATAGAAATTTTTTCATATGTCATTCGTTACAAACAAGATAAGGAAAATGTAGTAGCAGATGCATTGTCGTGAAGGTATGTGCTTTTAACTATGTTAAGTGCAAAATTGCTTGATTTTGAATGCATTAAGGACATGTATGCTAATGATTCTAAATTTTCCAACATTTACAATTCATGTCATATGGGGGCTATAGATAAGTTCTTTAAACATGAGGGGTACTTGTTTCGGGAAAACAAATTGTGTTCCTAATTGCTCTATGCATGAATTATTGGTTAGAGAAGCACATACTGGGGGGTCTAATGGGTCACTTTGGGGTAGCAAAGACTTTAAAAATATTAATTGAGCATTTTTATTGGCCTAAAATGAAAGTTGATGTGGAACGAATTTGTAGTCGATGCATAACTTGTAAACAGGCTAAACCTAGGGACTAGGGTCTTACCTCATGGGCTTTATACACATTTGCTAGTACCTAGTGAACTTTGGGTAGACATCTCAATGGATTTTGTGTTAGGTTTTCCTATAACTAAAGAGGGTCGGTATTTAGTGGTGGATATGTTTAGTAAGATGGCACATTTCATTCCATGTCACAAAATTGATGACGCAACTAGCATTACAAACTTGTTCTTTAAAGAAATTGTGCGCTTGCATGGAGTACCTAAAAGTATTGTGTCAGATAGGAATGTCAAATTTCTTAGTCACTTTTGGAGGGTCTTGTGGAATAAGTTAGACATGAAATTACTATTTTCTACAACTTGTCACCCACGAACCGATGGACAAACTGAAGTAGTGAATAGGACCATGGCACGACTATTGCGCACTGTGGTTAATGAGAATTGGGAAGAGTGCTTACCTTTCATAGAGTTTGCATATAATAGGGCCACACACTCCATTACATCGTTTTCTCCATTTGAAATCGTTTATGGTTTTAATCCTATAACATCTATGGATTTAATACCTTTGCCTGTGAATGAATGAGGTAACTTGGATGGGAAGGGGAAGGTCGAGCTGGTGAAATTACTCCATGAAAAGGTGCAAAAGCAAATTGAGAAGAAGAGTAAACACTATGTAGAGCAAGCAAACAAGGGCAGGAAGATTGTTACATTCGAACCAGGAGATTGGTTTAGGTTCATTTTAGGAAAGAGCGGTTTCCAGAACAAAAAAAATCAAAGCTGTTGCCATGAGGAGATGGACCGTTTCAAGTGCTTGAGAAAATCAATGACAATGCATACAAATTAGATCTTCTAGATGAGTATAACGTTTCAGTAACATTTAATGTGTCTGATCTTTCTCTCTTTGATGCAGGTACAGATTCGAGGACGAATCTTTTCGAAGAGGGAGGGGATGATGTGATCCAGGCTCGCAAGCATCAAGGTCAAGTCCAACGTCAAGGTCGAAGAAAGATCCATTGATAGTCAATGGCGGTCCGATGACTCGAGCGAGGACGAAGCGAGTAAAAGAGGTGATGGGATTGCGCGTTCAAAAAATCATTGATGGAACGATGTTCGGGACGCAAAACGAGGCAACTTTCATGTTTGAGTCAAGAGCCGAATCAAATTGGATCAACTCAATACAAGTCGACAAAACGGAGGCAAACTGGTCTACCATGCGACCGCATAGTAGAATGGGGCTTGTGGTCGCATTGGGTGTGACAGGGCCAATGCGGTCGTAGTTCAAGTGAACTATGCGACCGCATAGGTTTACACTATGTAGTCGCATAGTGTTATTTCGGGGACAAAATTTCCTTTTTCTGCATTTTTTCCTATATTTTGTTAGAATTTTATTCCTAGTCAAATTCTTATGATACTAGATGGTTATTTTCAAGATTCTACTAGATTATTAGAATTTTATTCCTTTTTGACTTCTATTCTAGGATTTAGTATAAGTAGAAGTTTATTTCTTCATTGCAAAAAAAACTTTTGATATATTGATGAATTGAAAGGCTCTAATTGCTTTATCTTTATTCTTCCAATTGAACAACTTTCGAACTTATCAAGATCTAATTCTTGTGGCGTTCAAATCAATCAGATGAGATTCCATAATTTTGTGTAATCAAGAGGTCCGCACATCGTCGGCGATTTGGGTTGCTTGGTTCCAGATTTATTGAATTCGAATTCAAAATCTTGCTTTGACTTTTTTGGAAAGATTTCCATCTTGTTCGTGAGTTCCGTAGCGTTTGCCTATCTAAGTTCAAATCACGTAATCTCCACCGTGTTAATATAAGTGAATCAATAATACTCAAACAAAAATTTTAAGAAAAGATTCTTCACGAACCTCAACTGCAAAGTAATTGATTACAATCTTATTAGAGACCAAGGATATTGTCTTTAATTTGTGCCTTCTCTTGTAACAATCAAATTCATCTCTCTTTCATTCTATAGGAAATTTTCACATTTTGTCCTCAATTTACTGCTTCATTAGCAGGTTGGTCATCGACTTATAAAAAGTAGCAAATCGGTTTTAACTTTATAAAAATATTTGCATTATGAGATCAATTATGAAAGCCATTCAAATATCTATTAAATTTCCAGTTGACCATCTCAACTCTAACCACATAAAGTTGAATTTCATAAGGGGCAAATGAATATTTAATAAAGTTATGAAGGATTCGCCATTCCTATCGATCATTTTTTTTTATCGAGACACTATGACGATACCAAAGGTGCAATTTATTTTATCTTTCTTTTTTAGGGTTTGCATGTTTTAATATGCCCATTTGGGCATGTACATAATATATGCATGAATGATTAGAATTCCAGATTCCATTTATGTTTTCTAAAGAGGAAATTGTTGACAGCACAATTGTTTTTGTAAAATATTTTCATAAGTCAGATCCAAAGAATATAAAAATCAGACATGCCCCATAAGTTATCGTCAACAATACCAATAATAGTGACATAATAATTAATTTAATTTTTATTGAGTTGTTTATGTTTTTGTTAATTACTTCTTAATCTTGATTTTGCTTTTCTTTAATACTTATTTGAATAAGAGAAGAATTTGCCAAGAGAGCGACATATGATATTTATTAATTACCTTCACAATTTGGGGACAAATATGAATGAACATGCAAATAAATTTCTTAATTTCGCTTTTATTAAGGAATGCAACATAACTTGTATTGTCTAATTTATCTAGTACTGCATATCATACATACCCTAACATATTTCTCACAATGATCATGCTTTTGTTATTGAAAGTTTCTTAATCATCATGGACCGTCACTCAGAACAATCTCTAGTCAAATGATCAACCACCATACTAACAAATTGAGTTTCGAGTAAAAAAAAAAAGTGAATTTGGTTAGTGATTTTCATTTTGCTTTTACGATTTCATTCAATTCAACTTTGCATATCCATCTATAAAGTGTTTTTATGAGATTGATAAAAGTTGATACTATATATGGTTAAAAAATTGATAAAAATTGTTAGTTTTATAAAATGTATGATTGAAAATGAATTTTAGAAAATTCAATTTCGTTATTTAGCACACCAATAATCTAAGTACAATCAAGGAAGGGGAATAAAAAGTATAGGTGTAATTAATCTCCAAAAAAAAATGTCAACTCTTAGAATACTAGGCATGGATTTAAAAATTAAAATAGAGATTGCTTCAAAATAATTAACTCAACGAACAAAGAATAGGTTGAAAATATTGCTAAACACTCGATTTACAGTGAAGTTTTATTTTGATTACCAAACTTTATTCTATATTAAATTTTTTTATTGCTCTCCATTTTTTGTTTAATTGACTAAACACTTTTAATTTTAATCGAATATCTGATACAATGTGACACGAAGATCTTTCAAGTCACAAGTTACGTAAAAAAAAAAAAAAAAACTCTAATTAAACAACCAAATTGAATATTAACGACCACCTTAGAATCAAATATATTTTGATAACCTTAAAACCAAATACATTTTGATGATGAATATGAAATGTATGATGGGTGAGTGACCCTTTTTTGTCCCAAAAAAAAAAAAAAAAGAAAAAGAAAAAAGAAAAAGCATTATGGCCTCGTTTGGGAGAGATTTTGAGAATTGATTTTTTGACCGTTAGTAGAAAAGTGGGGTTCCCCTGTGAGAGAAGAAGTAAAAAATTACGGCTAGAATAATGAAATAACGATTAAAAAATCAATTTTTTTGGATAAAAAATTTCTCCCAAACAGGCTGTATATACAAAGGAGAAATGCTTAAAAACTACTTTATTGGAACACCTCAAGTTAGATAGATTTTTAAAACGAATTCACTAATTCTCAGTTGGTAAATTTCCATGTGCATTCAGTTCAAACCTTGCCAGCCAAAACCTTGGCGGCTTCTACATATTTAATTCTGACCCTCTCCCTCACGCATAAGACAGCAATTACGTGTGTGTATTAAACTACAGCTTGTACATTCGTGTGTTTATATGTCTACATTACGTTGAATCATTGATTACTTTCCATATGGGTCCAGCTGAAAACCGATAATTTTCGCATATTCAATTGGTAATCTCTATCTGCTCTCGTGTAAATGAGTCTTCAATTTTATATAAATTTATCTCTAATTATGTGATTTTGTATGAATTTTGGCTGTATACAATGGTCGTTTAGGTTATTTGATCTTTGAAAATGGCCTGTAGAGATCTAATGAATGTTTTGCATTGTTCGTATCTGTTAATTGAGCAATTTGAATTATTCTTTTATTTAATCCCCTTTCATTAAATATTCTGTGGTTTTTCCAATTCCTTCTATAAATGAAAGCATCTTATAGTTTTTTTTTTCTTGAATATTTATGGCAATAAAAATGTTGCTTTTAAATTTACTTGCGATTCTCATGAGGGTCATGAAGTTATACAAGGGGTTTAATGAGTTGTGCAAAAGGATTTTATTTTTTACTTTTCCCGTTGTTCTTGTAATGAATATTTTAAAGAGTTTGTGATTCTTTTGTCAAATTCATTTAATTTGCTTTAATGTATATATAAGTCTCTGTCTTGTGGAAGGCTGAGTAGTAGTTGATATTTTGATTGTCTATCAACAACTCGTAGAGGACAGAGGAACAGACTGGGGTATGAAATTTTGATTTGAAGGAAAAGGGTTTACAGGGATCATGTTCTCTTCACAGAATTGGAAGTTCTCATATACCCTGGCGGCAGCTATTGGCTCGATTTTTGCATTGCTCTCGGTTGTTCATTTTTTCCTATATCCTGTGGTTCCTTCTCTTGACTACTTTAGCCTCAGTCAGGCTCAGATTTCTTGTCTACCAGTAGATGGATCCACTGAGGGAGTCAAGAAAAGCACACCTAAAAATGGATCCATTCGAGGTGGCAAGATGATTTTTCCAGCAAATGGGTCGATTCAAGTAACCAACGAGGATGCTGATCAAAACTTGCAGACAGTGGTTGATTTAAATGTCCAATTTCCAGCAGACTTGCATAATTCTGTTTCTTATCATGGCGCTCCATGGAAAGCTGAAATTGGACGGTGGTTATCTGGCTGTAATTCGAATACCAAAGTGGTGAAAATGGTTGAGGTACTATACGTTATGACCTTCAGGGATATTTCATCAAAGTTATTTCAGTTGTCCTCTTTTGATCTGATTAATGGGTTCGGAAATCAATTATGCTTACTCTAAGTAAATTGTGATCAGAAAATTGGTGGCAAGAGCTGCGAATACGAGTGTAGCGGTCAGGGTGTCTGTAATTATGAACTGGGTCAGTGCAGCTGCTTTCACGGCTTCAGTGGTCAGTCCTTTTTGATAGCTTTTTGCCTCAAAAAGTAATTTCTTCACATTCTTTTTAAATAAAGGTATCTTATTGGATATCCAATCACACAATCATTTAGTTCACTCTTGCAATTCTTGAAATATTATGTCAATCCATTTCTTTGATATCCCTGAGTAACTATTCATTCTCAAAATTTTCTCAATTATAATGTTTGGAGTTGTAATGAGGATAACCACTGGTGCCAGGGGAAGGATGTTCAGAAAGACTAAATTTAAGTTGCAACTACCCTGGATCAAAAGAGGAGCCATATGGGCACTGGGTTGTGTCTATTTGCTCGGCTCAGTGTGACACAACCAGAGCCATGTGCTTTTGTGGAGAAGGCACAAAATACCCTAATCGTCCTGTTGCTGAGGGATGTGGGTTTAAGTTAAAGTAAGCATACGTAAATTTTCAATGCACACTGCTATAATTATTGGATCGATGACAGTGCATTTGTAATAAGTTCTTTTGGCATGGAACAGCTTGCCTGCTCAACCTGGTGGTCCATCTCTGACCGATTGGACAAAACCTGATCTTGATATTTACACTACCAATACTAGTATACGAGGATGGTGTAATGTGGATCCTGCTGAAGCCTATGCTTCCAAGGTGCAATTTAAAGAGGAATGTGATTGCAAGTATGATGGTCTTTGGGGCCGATTCTGTGAAACACCGGTAGAAAGTGTTTGTATTAACCAATGCTCTGGCAATGGACAGTGCCGAGGCGGTTTTTGTCAGGTAGTTATGCTTCACATTTCAATGTGAATTTCTTTGGCTGATTCACATTGTTGTCTCATTATAATCAAGCTTTAACTATTGAGTGCAAAGATGGGGCTTCAAACACTTTGTTATAATATGTTTGAAGGCTTGTTTGGTGTAGATTTTTCTAAAATCATTTTTCCCTAGATTCATTTTCAACAACACATTCTATGTGACCCATAACTTTTCCCACTTTTCAACCACATATTCATCAATAAAAATCATTTTTTACTAGAAAAATTCTCCGCCAAACAAGCTTTAAATATTTGTATGGGTGTGTGCGCACATTTGTATATGTACTTATATAAATATTTGTAAATATCTGTTTTCTTATTATATAGTTTTTGATCATAACTATTATCTTCGGAGGGTTGAATCTGAGATGATACTCTTATATATGCACAATTTCATTGGATATCTGCAGTGTAAACGTGGCTGGTATGGAGTCGATTGCAGTGTTCCATCCGCTTTATCATCCATTAGAGAATGGCCCAGGTGGCTTCGACCTGCAAATATTAATGTTCCAGATAGTACACAAACGACGGAAACTCTTTTCAATCTTAATGCTGTAGTTCAAAAGAAAAGACCTCTTATATATGTTTACGATTTGCCTCCCGACTTCAATAGTCTTCTCTTAGAGGTGAGAATCCCTTTTCATTACTTCTCTATCTGGATAGAGAACATTTAATATTTCTATTGACTTTCTTGTCATTGCAGGGACGACATTTCAAGTTGGAGTGTGTAAACAGAATCTATGATCACAGGAATGCTACAGTATGGACCGATCAGCTGTATGGTGCACAGGTATCATTGGATCTAGATGTACTAATAAATAAAATTACTATGGTTAAGCGTGTAATACTGATCTAAAGGCTCCCTCTTGGCAGATGGCAATCTACGAAAGTATATTGGCCAGTCCTTATAGAACATTAAATGGTGAAGAAGCAGATTACTTCTTTGTTCCAGTACTCGATTCGTGTATTATAACTCGTGCAGATGATGCTCCACACTTGAGCATGAAGGTAAAGACCATTTATAAGTAAGCAATTGCATATGGAGATTTTATACCTAATATTCCATATTATTTTGTCAGTAAAATATGTTGACTGTCTGGGGACTATGAATTTTATGTTGTCACTGATGTTTACCATCAAATTCCAGGATCACCATGGGTTAAGGAGTTCACTGACTCTAGAATTCTACAAGAAAGCATATGATCACATAATGGTCCAGTATCCTTACTGGAATCACTCATCAGGAAGAGATCACATCTGGGTATGATGCCACTATTTAATAAAATATTCCGGATATTTTGTGTGAAGAACTGTAGAATTTCTCTCTCTGGTACATGAAACATATAACAATCTTTATCTCCAAACTGATGTCGTTGTCCGTATATCTCAAGACAGTCCTTTTCATGGGATGAAGGGGCTTGTTATGCACCTAAGGAAATATGGAACAGCATGATGTTAGTCCACTGGGGCAATACAAATTCGAAGTATAACCATTCAACAACAGCTTATTGGGCTGATAACTGGAATCAGATTTCGTCACAAAGAAGAGGGAGTCATCCATGCTTTGATCCAGACAAAGACCTTGTACTTCCTGCCTGGAAGCGCCCTGATGAAGGTTCCCTGAATGCTAAACTTTGGGATAGGTAGCCACATCAATCTTCATGCATTAATGCATTGAGTACAACTTGTACTGTCATGGCCATACTGTTAATTCTCATTTCTTTTATCCTTAAAAGATTATAGTGAAGGGATATTATTTATGCAGGCCTCGCGAGGAACGGAAAACACTATTCTATTTCAATGGAAATCTTGGACCGGCTTATGAACATGGAAGACCTGAAGCAACGTAAGTTATTTAAACACTCTGAGATTGTAATACGTGCTGTAAAATTTTGTGATATGATGTTGGAGGTAGCATGCTTTTTCAGTCTGGGATATCCAGTTTGCCAAATGGTCTCAATACTTCATTTGGTTTTTATATATGAAATTTAATAGGCTAGGTGGTGATGATATTCAGGTATAGCATGGGCATAAGGCAGAAAGTTGCTGAAGAGTTTGGTTCAAGTCCTAACAAGGCAGGAAAACTTGGGAAACAGCATGCAGAAGATGTGGTTGTAACTCCACTGCGTACTGATCATTATTACGAGGAATTGGCAACTTCCGTTTTCTGTGGGGTTATGCCTGGAGATGGATGGAGCGGTAGAATGGAAGATAGTATCCTGCAAGGTTGCATTCCTGTGGTCATTCAGGTTCTGTACTCGGCAACTTATATTATGCAAAAGTGCAATTCTGGGCAAGCTTAAAAATAAGTAAAAGTTCTTTAAAGTAGCTTTTTGCGCCAAACACGGTTGGATAATTTACATTTTTCAAGTAAAAAAAAAACTTGCTTATTTTCAAAGTAACTCTTACTATACTCTCAAAATTATAAGCAACGTATTTATTTCTAATTTTGATCAAATAAAAAATTCTTACTTTGAAGCTTATTTACTTACGAGTGAACTTTTTAGCGCAAGCCAATTACTACTATTTAACTCATGGTTTGCCAAATAATTTGCAACTTGCTGGTTGAGGCTCACACTGATATTTAGTTGAATATTTTGGACGTATTCCAACCATTTGAAAGCTACAAGTTTCTCAGTTGCTGTTGTTTAGAGTCTTAATTTGAATGTAATTTATTCACCAGGTTTTAATTGCTTATAATTCAATACTAGTTTTTCAATCTTCCAGGATGGGATCTACTTGCCCTATGAGAATGTTCTCAACTATGAAAGCTTTGCCGTAAGAATTCATGAAGATGAAATTCCAAATTTGATAAACATTCTGCGGGTATTTTCTTACAGTCTTCTGTTTAATTATGGAACTCACGTTGTACTATCTTGAAATTTATCATTTAATATGATAGAATCTGACAAATAGTTTGTTATAACACGTGCAGAGATTTAACGAGACGGAGGTAGAATTCAAATTGAGCAATGTGAGGAAGATCTGGCAGAGATTCTTGTATCGTGATTCTGTTTTGCTTGAAGCCGAGAGGCAAAATGCTACACTTGGACTTGTTGAGAATTGGGCCAGGAAGTTCTCTGAACTAAGTGAAGATGATGTCTTTGCCACACTCGTGCAGGTAAAAAATTCGACCCTCTAATAACGAGTACAGGCTTCCCCAAGTTTCACGGGGTGTCTTTCTTCTTGGCACAGAAAGGGACACCGTGCGGCAGTAGTCTGCTCGGCTAGACTACCTTCCGCATTTTCTCAGTCGCGTCGGGACGAAAGAAAATTTGATTACGATTTTGTAGAAAGCTTACAATAGAGAATTGGAATACATTGAAAGTAAATTGAACATTTATTGATGAAAACTGAACATTATAATTGACGAAAGCAGAAAATTACAATTGCTGGTGCAGGGGGTGGACACCAGTGAGCTTGAAAATTTTTTGAAAAACTAATACCCCCTAAAATAGCATTCTGAACAAAAACCTAAGTGACAGGAGTAGACGTTTAAAAGACGAGGAATCATACTAAACGTTTACCAATATCAAAGCTATTTTACAACTGAAATAACTATTACAATGAAAAGAAAATTACAACTCAAACTTGAAGTAATATTTACAATGTGCGGCCGAAGTTGGGCAAACTGCGGCTGCGATAGTGTCATGGGGCTAAGTAAAGCTGTGGTCCTTGACATTCTCCCCCATTTGTTTTAGCGACGTTCTCGGTGCCATCAATGCATGATATGCTTCAATTAATGGTTTGAAGGCTCCGAGATCTTTTTCTCTTTCCCAAGTATTCTCCTCGCTGCTGCATCCCATCCATGTGACCAAGTACTCCTGATGATCTTTTCTAGAAGTTCGAGTAATTCGATAGTCAAGAATAGTTTCAGCAACCTTCTTTCCAGCTTTCTGCAGTTCAAACACAGGTCGCTTTGGCTCATTTCTAGATGCGTCCTCCTTATCCGCAAAGTATGACTTCAACACACTAACATGAAGGACCTTGTGAATTTTACACCATGAAGGGAGTTCAACTCTGTATTCAACTTTTCCAATCCTCTTCACGATGGGTAATGGTCCAATGTATTTTGGCGACAATCTTGAGTCCTTCCCTCTTGTTGGTTTGTAAACATTTCTGTCGGGAAGCTTAATCATTACCAGATCTCCAACATTGAATTCAATGAAACGGCGCTTTAGATCCGCAGCCTTTTTATACTTTTTTTAAGCTTTCTCAAGATAATTCCGAGCAATTTCAATATTTTGTTTCCACTCTTGAGAAAAGTTCTTTACTTGAGGGCACTTGGTACTTCGTTCGATATCCACCGTATGAGGGAGTAGTAGATGCTGGCCAGTAACAATCTCAAAAGGACTCTTATTGGTAGAAGAGTTCTTTTGGACATTGAAGCAAATTTGGGCCGCATCCAAAAGTTTTACCCAGTTTTTCTGCGAAGTAGATATAAAGTGCCGAATATATTCTTCTAGCATAGAATTGAAGCGTTTTGTTTGTCCGTCAGATTGTGGGTGAAAACTAGAACTCATGCTCAAAGTTGAACCAAGAAGTTTGAACAACTCAGTCCAAAATATGCCAGTGAAACGAGGATCTCGATCACTGACGATGTCCTTAGGCAGCCCCCAATATTTGACAATATGTTTGAAGAAGAGTTGAGCTGTCTCTTCCGCAGATACATACTTAGGTGCTGCAATGAAAGTTGCATATTTTGATAGACGGTCCACCACGACAATGATAGTGCCAAAATCCTCAACTTTTGGCAACCCAATAATGTAGTCCATCGATACACCTTCGAATGGCCGGGTTAGGATGGAAAGGGGCTCTAGCAAGCCCACCTTTTTCTGATGATCTGCCTTATCTTGCTGACAAATAAGACAGGTTTTTACATATGTTGCAATGTCGTCCCGCATTTGAGGCCAGTAGCATGCACGTTGCAGTGGTGCACAAGTACGTTCCTCTCCAGGATGCCCTGTCGAAATTGTGTCATGGCATTCTGTAATTAGTGATTTTCTCAGATCTCCGCCCTTAGGAACATATAGGCGGTCTCCCTTTGTCTTCACTAGTTCCCCATCGAGCTAGAATTGTCGAGTTTTACCCTGCTTGATGAGGTCGACCAAATATTGGGTAGCCGTGTCCTTTTCCATAAGTGCCCGAATTTGGTCTCTAGTGTTCGTGGAGATTGCGCTCTTGAAAGAGCAGCTAAGGAACAGATGGCAGCTAAATCGGCCCGTCGACTAAGAGCATCAGCAACATGATTACTAGAGCCGGGACGATACTCTAACATAAAATTGAACTCTGAAAGGAATTCCTGCCAGCGAGCCTGTTTGCTCGATAGTTTTGGTTGGGACCTGAAGTGACTAACTGCAGTGTTATCTGTCTTCACAATAAATGGAGACCCAAGCAGATAGTGACGCCATCCTCTGAGACAATGGACTATTGCCAACAATTCCTTTTCATGCACCGAGTAACGACGTTCTGTCTGGTTTAACTTCCGGCTCTCATATGCTATCGGATGTTCTTCTTGCATGAGGACTCCACCAAGTGCAAAATTTGAAGTATCTGTATGAACTTCAAGTGGTTTAGCCATATCCGATAAGGCTAAAATCGGGTTCGTCCACATGGACTTCTTCAACCTTTCAAAAGTAGCTTGGCATTGGGATGACCAATCCCAATCCTTATCCTTCTTTGTCAATTCAGTAAGTAGCAGTGCAATTTCTGAGTAGCCTTTCACAAATTTTCGATAGTAATTGCATAACCCAAGAAATGAACGTACATCATGTACGGTTATTGGTGGTTTCCAATCTTTGATGGCTGCAACCTTCTTCGAATCCATTCGAATTTTACCTTATTCAATGATGTGACCCAAGAAACTGATAGATGTCTGAGCAAATTAGCATTTTGATAGCTTAGCATAGAGTTCAATCTCCCGTAGCCGATTAAAAACTTGTCTCACATGCTGGACATGTTCCTCCAATGTCTCGTTGTAGATTACTATGTCGTCTAAGTACATCACGACAAAATCATCTAGGAACTCGTGAAGTACCTGATTCATCATAGTACAAAATGTCGTTGGAGCGTTTGTCAAACCAAAAGGCATCACTTTAAATTCAAAGGCTCCATATCTGGTCACCACCGTAGTCTTTGGCTCGTCTCCCTCCTTGATGTGAACTTGCCAGTAGCCGGACCTAAGATCAATTTTTGTGTAATACTTCGCCCGACTCAGTCGATCGAAGCAATCCGCAACCAGTGGGATAGAATAGCTATTCTTTACAGTAATCTTGCTCAAGGCTCGATAGTCGCAGCACATTCTAAGAGAACCATCGGCCTTTTTCTGAAGCAATACAGGAGCTCCGTATGGCGACTTCGCAGGCACAATGATTCCACTCTCCAACATTTCTCCCAATTGTTTCCTAAGCTCTTTAAGCTCGGGCTGAGACATACGGTATGGTGCCCTGGCGGGAGGTTTGACACCTGAAATAAGTTCAATCTCATGATCAATCGTCTTTCTTGGTGGTAATTTCTTTGGTAATTCTTCCGACATGATATCCTCAAATTCCTGAATAAGCCTTTTAACGGGTTTTGGAATAGGACCATTCGCCTCTTCGATCTCTTCTAATCGAAGAGTGCACAAAAAAGAGGGTTCATTTATCTTGAAACCCTTACTAAATTGCATGGCTGAGATACTCTTCTCGCTCATCCTCCCAATCTGTGTATGGATGACACACGGCTTATTACCCATCATCATTAACGAATCGGAATATGGCAACACTGCTGTCTTAGTATCCCGAAAAAATTCTAATCCTAGAATAAGCTTGAAATCATCCATCTGAACTACAGATAAATTTGTCCTTCCCTCGAAAGGACCTGCTTTGATCAACACCGATTTCGCCACTCCAGCTATTGGTTGAGCAGCGGAGTTGATTGCTTTGACTTTTCCACTACCCTTTTCTAGAACAAGTCCGAGCCGCTCTACTTCGGTACATGCAAGGTAGTTGTGGGTAGTACCAGTATCCACCATAGCCCTGATTGGCTTCCCATTGATTTTTACATCAATGTACATTAAGCCTTTGGCCCTATTCGAGCCTTCGCTTCTTCCATCTTTGCTTCTTTCAATGGGACATCATCATTTTCAGCAACCCGATGCGACAGTGTGTTGCACCGATGTGAAAATGCCCCAACTACGTCCTCATCCTCTTCGGAGTCGGTCTCACTATGACAATTAGCCTGCGGGGCCTCTTGCTTTGAACTTGACCCGCCACTTGCTAATTGACAATATGCATTCACTATCCATTTTTGAGGACACTCCGACATCCGATGAGATCCTTCACATAAAAAACACTTCAATTTGGGAGTGGCATCAGTTCGGCCCTCCATTGCTTTTTCTTTGTTCCAATTGTTACTGTTGCTGTCGTTAAAATTTCCTTGACGGCTATTATGATAGTTTCCCTGAAAGCCGCGGGTGTTTTGATAGGCTTCTTCTCTATTCTGAGAGTAACGCTCTCCCCCATTTGGGTTCGAGCTGGGTCTGTAAGATCTGTTACCACCTCCAATTGCTTGATTACTCCCCGAAGGTCGATCTTTTCTAGATTCTGTTTGGTAGTCGCTCAAGCATTCAGCGGCTCCCATGGCCATGCTCAAATCAATAACCTTCTGTCTTTGAAGTTCCGTGCGTGTCCAAGGTTTCAACCCTTCCATAAAGGTGAAGAGTTTATCATTTTCCGACATATCTCAAATATTCAGCATATGCCCTGAGAAGGATTTCACATATTCCCCGATAGAGCTCGTGTGTTTCAGGTCTCGAAGTGCCCGTCGAGCCTGATACTCGACATTTTTCGGAAAAAACTGCGATCTGATCGCTTCCTTGAGGAGATCCCAAGAATCTATTCGAACCCTGTGGGCCTGAATATCAGCATATTTGGTTCGCCACCATAGTTTTGCATCTCCACCTAGATACATGGTAGTTGTGGTTACCTTTCTAGCTTCGTTTTCGATCGAAACTGCGAGAAAGTACTGTTCCATATCAAACAAGAAGTTTTCGACTTCTTTTGCATCACGTGCCCCTCCGTAGGTACACGGTTCAGGAATTCTGAGTCTAGGAGCATACTCAGGTACGGGAGCTTGCCCATTGCCCACCGCACGTTGGAGTACCCGCAATTGAGCTCTCAACGCTTCCATTTCATTCTGCAGATCAGGAATGATTGCAGCAGCTTCAGTAATTGCTGCGTAAGCCCTTTGACTTTCATCCAGTTGGATGTGTAATCCACGAATCTCGAATTCGGCCATTTCGACTTTTTCCTGGAGACCTTCCAAAGCATAGCACAACCTAGTAGTTGTCTCATTAAGCTCATCCACGCGCTGTTTAGTAGTACCCTTCTTTTGAGGCTCTACTACTTCAGTGGTGTGGGATGTAATTGGATCCATATCTTTCTTATCGAGGGACGTGAGCCGCAGCTTTGATACCAACTTTCACGGGGTGCCTTTCTTCTTGGCACAGAAAGGGACAACGTGCGGCAATAGTCTGCTCCGCTAGACTATCTTCCGCCTTTTTTCGGTCGCGTCAGGATGAAAGAAAATTTGATTACGATTTTGTAGAAAGTTTACAATAGAGAATTGAAATATATTGAAAGTAAATTGAATATTAATTGATGAAAGCTGAACATTACAATAGACAAAAGCAGAAAATTACAATTGCTGGTGCAGGGGGCGGACACCAGTGAGCTTGAAAGATTTTTGAAATACTAATACCCCATATAATAGCATTCTGAATAAAAACCTAAGTGACAGGAGTAGACGTTTAAAAGACAAGGAATCATACTAAACGTTTACCACTATCAAAGTTATTTTACAACTGAAATAACTATTACAATGAAAAGAAAATTACAACTCAAACTTGAAATAATATTTACAATGTGCGGTCGAAATTGGGCAAATTGCGGCTGCAATAGTGTCAAGGGGCTAAGTAAAGCTGCGGTCCTTGACACTTGGACTTGTTAAGAACTGGCCAGGAAGTTCGCTGAACTAAGTGAAGATGATGTCTTTGCCACACTCGTGCAGGTAAAAAATTCGACCCTCTAATAACGAGTACAGGCTTCCCCAAGTTTCAGCAAAGTTCTTTTTCTACTGCGTAAACTGAAATATTGAAAAACTTTTATTAACAATTAAGGCTATTTTTTCATTGAAGATGCAATAAATAAATTCCTTTAGCTGTAACAAATGAATTTATTTATAACAAGTAAATTTATTTAGTTCAAGCTTTTAAACGAGCTGCCTTCCAATAAGACTAATAGATCCCAGGAGGAGTTAACCTTATTCAAGGTTGTGGATTAAAATCTGTACACGAAATGCATTGTATCTCTACTTACATTCCTTTTTTCTTAATATAATGGCTTGAAAAACATTTTGCTATGTGTATCAGAATTCAAACCTTGGAATTTTTATCCAATAATAGCTGAACTGATTTCTGAATATTTGACAAGGTTTTGCACTACAAGTTACATAATGACCCTTGGAGACGAGAGGTTGTCTTTCCCAAAAAGGAGTTTGGTGTACCCGGAGAATGTGTAAGGAGGTAGCAAATAGCTGCAAGTTTCAGGAGAATGCAACTGCTAGGGGGTGGGCGGATTCTCAGCATAAAGTACAGTGCTGCTGCTCTGTAGCTTGACCGAATGCATCAAAATAAAGCTGCAGCAAAAGGAGCAGCAATTTTGAACAAGACTTGGATCATCAATCAATAGTTTCTGCAGAAAATAGAGTTTTCTTTTATTGTTCTGCCATTTGTTTGCATTGGATGGTAGGTTTCTTACTGCTATAGAAACAATATTTTAAAGAATATATACAAAATAAAGAAAAAATTCATTACTTGTTGCTTTCCACAAATATTACTTATAATGTGATTTTATAGAGGTTTTTGTAATTCTTCAAAAACATGTGTGATTGTCTTAGTTAATTAACTTGGGTGGTGTCTATGATATTATCTCAATTTTTAAATAGTGTTAAAATACTTGGACGACTTAAAATGACATAATGATATTTAAGTTATAAAATGAACTATTATCTTCTATCAAATTTACTGGATTTAAATATATTCAGTAATTGATACTTAAAGAGTCTGTTTGATGCCCGTTTTTTGCCAAAAAAAAAAAGTATTCTGGAACGGTGATTTGATGGAAAATGTCTTTTAAAATAAGGAAATTTTTTTTATTTGCGCGTAATATTATTTTATTGAAGAATGTGATTGAAATGAAAAAAGAGAAATGTATTTTGAAAAAATAGGAATCAAACAAGGTCTAATTTAACATTTTATTTTCAAAATTATATCTTAAATTTATACTATTGAGATTATTTGAAAAAAATAAGGGAACATTTAGCCAATATGAATATCTATAAATCAATATTTAATAAAATAATTTAACATACCAATATATTATTTATATTGTTATCTTTACAAAAATAATGCTAATTATTTAACATAAAAACAGAATTACGATTAATTTATATCAATTTTGAATTTTTCATTTTTTTTGAATAAAAACTTTTTTAAAGAAATAAATTTAACTTTTCCATTAATATGACAGAATAATGTAATGCATAATAATCGAACTATGTTATAAATTTAACTTTTCCATCAATTAATTTTTTAGAAAAAAATTATTATTATTCTTTTTATCTATTCCTTGCGATAGAATACCGTACAATGTTGTTATAATCGTAAAGAGACATAATGCATAATATTGAATAGTTCACCAACCTCCAATATCAGGTAAGATGGCGAATAAGCCCTTGTTTATCGCTCATTATTTCACATTTCACCACATTATTTTTTTTTCTATAGTACTCATTTTCAACCACATATTTTTCATTAAAATAATATTACATACAAAACAAAATTTTTTTCCTTCTTTTTAATCACACATTTTCCATCAATCTATTATTATGCAATTGTTTGTTTCCCTTTTTTTTTTATTAAAATGAAAAATATGACTGTTATACATTACATCAAGCCACCAAATTTGAATTTCTATCTCTTATGTGAAGTCCATAACGATTATATTTTTCATTCTCATTTTTACATTAATGTGTACCAAATGGGGCCTATATAATACATTTTTCAAAAGTAAAGGGGCTGAAACACACCCTCATTGTGCCGTACTTAAGCTATAATGTGAAGTTTTTCTTTAAATTTACTTGAAGCAAATGATTCTATATTGCTGTCAATGGTGATTGTCTTGCTAGGAAATGGGAAACTCTAAATGTATAGCACTTAGTGCTGCCCCCTCACATGAGGGGCTCATACCGTACTCAAGAGTGTACAACAAGCATCTCTCCTAGGAAATTTCCTTTTGTACATTAATAATTGATTCTACATCACTCTTATGATATAATTGACCGTGACATTTTTATTCAACAAATTTTTTGTTTAACAAGTTGTCTTGTCCAACTTTTAATATGATTTTGTTTCACATTGTTTACTAATCTTGCATGAATTTAAAAAATAAGTCGTTGTTTGGTAGGGATTTTGATAATTGATTTTTTGACCGCTAGAGATAAGGTGGGTCCTACATGTGAGAGAAGATTTCAAAAATGACGATTGGAATAATGAAATAACGGTCAAAAAATTAATTTTAATTAACTTTTAAGCTGTACCAAACAAGCTCTAAAGCTGTACTTGTTATAAGTTTTTATTATACTTTCCATTCGAAATTATATTGATTTTTTGCTCAGACTAGCTAGTCTAGTGAGAATCATAGCTCAAATCTCAAACCCTTCTTACATGATTGCCTAAATTTACTTGTCTCCTCAAAAAAGCAAGTTTGCATTTGATTTTTTGTTTTCAAAGTGTATTCAATTTTAAATTCTGTAAAGAATAATGCTACTTATTATGATGATGATGGAGTATTAATAATGTGTCAATCCATTATTCCTCACATTTATCTCTATCAGTCTCCTCCCTCACTCTTTAATAAAAATTGAGTAACCCAATTTCATTAGTCCAGATAAATTGCTACATTACAGATGTTCCATCATCATAATGATAAATGACATTGTTCTTTTGAAAAATACCCAAAACTTGTTTGATCTGATATTTTTGAAAGTGTATTTTTAAAAACAAGGTTAAACTTATATCATACAATTGGAAACGTAATTTTAACATTTTAAGTGATTTTATTGAAATTGTTTAAATCACTCAAAACATGAAATAAGCATTTAATTCTAAAAAACAAAAATATAAAATTCCAAAAAAATTAAAATCTAAAATTCTAGAAAAAAAAAACTCTAATAAAATTTAAAAATTTTGAAAAAAAAATTCTAAATTCATAAAAAATAAGAATTCTAAATTCTAAAAAAGTAAAATTTTAAAATAAAATTCTAAAAAATTATAGAAAAATAAAAATGATTCGAGCTCTTATTTGATATTTAAATTAAAATCCTATGTTTAAATAAACGCAGATAAAAGTTCTCATATCATGTCATTAGTTTTAATTTTTTATGTCATGCCAATTTAAGTTATTATTTGTTTTTATTTTACTCTATAGTGACAAAAAAATTGTGAAAATTCACCAACTTTGAAATAATTTTTGAAAATGATGAACAAATGCATTTTTAACAATCTTATATCTTACACTCAAAATAGAAAACTGAAAATAAACTAAAACGTTAATCAAATGGGCCCGAACAACTAGAAAATAATTACACTAAGGTCCATAGCCTATAAAAAATATAGCAAGTCAATCTCGAACCTTCATTTCTATGATCGGGTCCCCATGTCATGATTTTACCCTTGTTTCTAATTGATTACTCAATTTTTTAATAAAATTACAAATTTATCCTTATGTTTAATTGAGCAAAAAAAGAATAAAAATAAATAATAAATGATAAAAAAACAAAAAAATAAAAAATAAAAAGGAAAGATAAATACAAATAAAATATTTTCCCCCCCAACCTCCAAAATGATCCTAAGACCTGAACTCTAAGGATGTGGATGATCGGATATTAACAATAGATCTTATAATAAACAAATATAAGTCACAACATAGTCGAGTATCATTGCTATTTGCAGTTAGGAGTTGAAAATAAGGTAATTGATTATAGATTACACGTATAATTATTCAATTTCACGTAAAAAGAATTCCGTTTTAGGAAGATTTGATCAAGTTCTTAAAAACTCAAAATTGAACGACTCAATACCCAATTTACCAAGCTCCCATAAATTGTCTTTTTAATAAAAATGAGTTTTTGGTCCAAGACAAGGTTAAAATTGTCCTTTAGAAACTTTGAGTCCCACAAAAGTAAAAAGATTGGGATTGAAGATGCCAAAATCATAGGATGAGGACCTAATTGTTTCATTATCTATAGTTTCGGACACCAAGTGCAATATTTCGAGAAAAAAAAAAAAAAAAACTAGTTTTGGGTGGAGTGAAGGCGCCATTATGCCCCTCCATCACCTCCACCTGCACACTCTCCTTCTCTGTATATATATCCGAGGGAATATCTGATTAAAGAATTAAACACGCTACGAATATGGGATTGCATTTCAAACTTTCTTGCAACTTCTTCAAAGTTTCGGACTTTTTGAATCCTAAGTTGTTCTACTTTGAAAACTTTTTCCTCAAACTTGGTTTTTTACGTACCCTTTTCTTTAGTCACAGTTTGATCACCTTCACAAGCAAAATAATATAGAGAAACCCCAGTCAAAGTAAGAGAGAAAAAGAGATTCTTGGGCTACCTAATATTGCTATATATAAGGTGCTCTTCACTGTCTTCTTCTCAAATCATTTACTTCTTTGTTTCCCATAATCCGATTTTAGGTAGAACAAGGTTTAATTTTAAATTTTTTAGCCGGAATTTTAGTTTTGTACAGAAGGGGAATTTATATATGAAATTAATTGGTTATTGAATATTTGTCAAGAATAGGCAAAATGTTATATCTGCATTGGGCTTTTCTTTTTTAAGCTGGTAATGGGCGGTGGCACTGGGGTTGGGGAGTGGGCGTGTGGAATGGAAATTTTATGCGATTCAAATTTATCATCATTTATCTGCCATTTATAGTACCAAAAATGAATTTTTATGTGTAATGTGAAGATCTAGAAATTGATTTATTTATTCATTTTTTTTCTCATAAGACCCCTTATATGTTTCATCTTAAACAGATTCAATCTTGATTTGGAGGATCATTTGTATCTATGGTGAGTCTTTGTATATATTTTTCAATTTTTTAAATCTTTAAATAAAAAAAAGGATAAAATGGTTTTGATGAAAATTAATGGACATAGGTGGATCAAAATGGCTGCATTATTATGTGATCATATCTTTATGTGGTTGTGTTATGAACAGGGGGAAGCTCCAGGTCTTTTTGAAGATCATATCGATGGGTTTCATTTAAGATATGAAGGCAGTGAAACATCAATCGACATCTGCAGCAACAAAAAAGTATGACTATCTGACACATGGAATTCACATTCTGCTAAAATGAGTGAAATTTTTGTTTATGAATTTCCTAAATTGATTCAGTGTGTTATTGGTGGGATGGAAAATGAATCAAATTCAACCATTGGAGTCCAGATTTTTGACAAATCTACGGGTGAATGGTGCGTATTTTGGTTTAAGGTTAGATAATTTAGGGGCTGTGTGGCAAAGCTTTTGATAAAAGTTTTAATAGATTTTGATTAAAAGTTGTGGGTTTTCGTGAAATGTGGTTAAAATTGAAGTTTTACGATTTCAAAAGTTTATAAATTGTAGCGAAAGTTTGATTAAGCAAGCATTTAAAGTTTGACTAAAATTTGCAGGATGATCCCCGTTGTGTTGGGAATAAAACCTGGGCCATCGAAGGGACACTCAGCTGTTCTTATAGATGAAGATCGAATTTTGGTCGTCAAAGGGGACTCAGCTTCTGATGCTTGCTTTTGGTTTCTTGAGGTTTGGTGCTTCTTGGTTGTTAAAAGATATAAAAATGAGACACTTGATCTTTCGCTTTGGTAACTAAAGCACTTGCAATGATGGCTTAAAGTGAAAAAGTTCTCTTTTTTCCATGGATTTTGTCCAAAACACGTTGGAAATCGAACAATCATGTTTGTATGTTGCTTTTCTTAGTTTTGTTCAATTTCTTGAGTAGGAACTTTGTTATTTCTTCTTTAGGTGAACACTGCTTTTGTTAGAGAACAGAAAAAAAGATTGGGGACCGAAACGGTTGCTTGGAGTAGAGGAGTTATCGGTGAAGCTGAAAAACTGATTGTCATAAGTGGTCCTTCTGGAGTGGGTAAGGGTACTCTAATTTCCAAACTGACGGAAGAATTTCCATCCATGTTTGGATTTTCAGTGAGCCACACGACCCGTGCTCCGAGAACCAATGAACAGAATGGGGTTCATTACCATTTCACCGAACGTAGTGTCATGGAGAAAGATATAGAGGATGGAAAGTTCCTTGAGTTCACCTCTGTTCATGGAAATCTCTATGGAACCAGTGTAGAAGCTGTAGAGGTGGTTGTGGATAAAGGAAAGGTATGGCGATACATTATTGTGACATTTTGTTCGTACTTTTTAAACGTAGTACGATGATTATAACCATCATGTATGGCATTCTACCAAAGACGAAGTGTTTAATGTGCTCACCATTGTCATAAATGGTACCCTATCGTTTACTAATGACAATTTTGTTATGGAGGATTAGATATCAGTTGACAACATTAAAGAAGAAAAAGGAGTTAAAATCCTATCTTGTATTAGCACATAACATTTGTTTATTAACCTAGTATTAGATCGCAGTAGACAAAATAATGAACATGATTTTAATTTCTTTCACTTTGAGGCTATTGAGTACTCTCTATCCACCTTACTAAACTTCCCAATATTGTTTTTTGCATTGTAAAATGATTTTTGTTTTGCAATGGTTGGTGTGGTTTCATGTAGAGATGTATCCTTGATATCGCCGTTCAAGGTGCAAGGTCTATTAGGGCTAGTTCTCTTGAAGCCATTTTTATCTTTATCCGTCCTCCTTCATTTGAGGAGCTCGAGAAGCGCCTTCGTGCAAGGTGGTCTTCACTTGGACATTCATGGTTTCTCTCCTTGCATGCCTTTTGTTGATAAAGAGTTATCATATATATGAACAGGGGGACAGAAACAGAAGAACAGATCCAAAAGCGACTCGGAAATGCCAGGACAGAGCTTGATCAAGCAAACTCACCTGGTCTGTTCGATCATATCTTGGTCAATGACGACCTTGAGACTTGTTATGAGAATCTTAAGGTGATTATTGCATCTTGATTTTCGTCCCAGTTCATCTCGTATCATTTGTCTTCACAGAATGCAGAAGAGAGCGCAACCCAGACATTATCCTTTTTCTGTTCTTTTTTTGTTACAGAAACTTTTAGGCCTAAACGAGGATGGCAAGACTACTACTCGTAAATCAAGTAAGTTTTGTCCCACAAATATCAATTATTTGTTCAATAAGTTGATGTTTTGAAGATTTATTATCATCCTGTGCAGAATTATTTGACGTTCCTTTGAAGCATTCAATCTTGAAAATTGATCAGAAGATACTGATAAAATGTGGCACTGCAGAAGGACAGAACTCATTTAGAAACATGTATGTTAAATGCTGCTAGATTTGAACCCATTTCAGGTTTTCGCAAATTCTTACTTGTTTAGCGTTATTCGAGTAGGTTTATTCTGGATTTATCTTCAATGAGAGGTGGTGCTCCAGGTCGAACTAGCGGACTGAAAGTGTACTCCGTCGACCCATCCACGAATGGCATAAATGTGCTCAAGACATTGCTTTTGCTTGTCTTCATGTGCCTGTATTGCTACATTTGTTTTGCAAATTATTGGTAGTGTTTACTTAATATTATTATTATTATTTTTTAAGAGTGATGAATTATTTTGAGAAATATCACATTATCTATTATTTAGTGCTAAAATCATGTTCAAAAATTCCAAAATTTAAGACGTGAATATATTAAGCATATACCCTGAACATCCACTAAAGTTGTTTCAATTTATCCCAAGGGAGAAAATTAACTAATAAGGAATATCGATTATCCTAAAACAGATAGTTCTATTATAGCCATTTCTGTACATAACAATTATATTGTTACGATGAATTCAAGAAAATCAGCCCACTTTGTTTTACAAAAATAAGAAATAATAAACTGCAATTGAAAGAAACATAAAAGAAAATGCAAAGAACATGAAATATTTGCCCTAAGGCAAGAGGTTCGGAACTGGAGTTCCTAATTCCCTTTTGAGCTTCCGCCACCGGAAGGAATCACTATATTAATCGGAATCTCCAAAAATTATAGATCACAATTCATGGCACTCAGGCGAAATCACATCAAGATTTCGCGCACAACAACCCGCACTGCATATTAGAATATCCACACAAGGATTAATCCCTATAAAACCACTCAAGATCTATTATGGGGCTGAAATTATAATCAAATCTACAGGGGGCCTTTTTGAGTGCAAAGGAGAATCGAAGAACCAACAATCGAGAGAGAACCGAGAGTTCGAGAGAGAGAGCTGGTAAAAATGAAAAGTTACAGCCTCTCAAACCCTAGAAGCCAGCTTAATATCGAAGGAGCTAGAAGGTTCCTCATCAACAGTGAGCAGAGTGACACTTGGCAAGATCTGGAGCGTCTGTTCTTACTAAAGAAAAACGGGTTTCAACAACACGTTTTATGCCAAGCTGGTTAGTCCAGCTCAAGTGACAAATGATCCAGCCCACAAGCCCATCAGTTTTAATAGTCCAGCCCAATCATTATTGTGCCACAATATTTTTCTCTACATTCTTCACCTTGGTACAATGATTCCAGCATCATTTATAGTGATTCCTACAGTCATGACATCATTTGTTCGGGTACGTGATACACAAATCAACAGCAATTTATATTAAGCTGCTTTAAACAATCCAAGAACTTGTTTAAAGAAATTACATCTCTAATAAAATGAAATTTCACATCAATATGTTTAGATCTATTATGCAGCGCAGGATTTCTACTCAAATATATAGCATATTAGCTATCAGAATATAAGACAACATCATTTATGAAGCCAGATTTATTTAAAATTCCTTTTAGCCAAATTCCTTCTTTAATTGCATCGGTAGCAGCTATATATTCTACTTCAGTTGAAGACAATGCAACAATCTTTTGTAATTGTGATTTCCAGCTTATACAGGAATTACATAAAGTGTAAACATAGGCAGAAGTTGATTTTCTGTTATCCCTATCACCTGCATAATCTGAATTCGTGAAATTCCTCAAAATAACACCCTCATATTGTTTTCTATACTCAATTCGTAGTTCACAAGTCCCTTTTATATATCTTAGAAGCCATTTCATAGCTTCCCAATGAACCTCACCAGGATTTGACATGTATCTGCTCAATACACTTATTGAAAATACTAAATCAGGCCTAGAACAAATCATTAGATACATAACTGACCCCCACAGCATTAGAATATGGCAATCTAACCATCCTTTTTAACTCATCTTCCGTTTTGGGACATTGATCATTAGATAATTTGAAGTTATTTGCTAAAGGTAAGCTCACACTTTTAGCATCAGACATTGCAAATCTTTCAAGTATTTTTAAAGCATAAGATTTTTGATTTAAACTTAGTGTGCTCTCTCTTCTATTTCTTTTAATTTCGATACCCAAAATTTTTCTAATAGGACCTAAATCCTTCATTTTAAATTCAGATTTTAATTTGTCTTTAATTAACTCTATTTCCTTTACGTCATGAAAAGCATGTCATCCACATATAGTAGAAGATAGAGTGAATTCTCACCTCCATTTCCTTTACAATAAAGACAAGTATCGAAATTACTTCTTTTAAAACCAAGTCCAAGTACAAAAGTGTCAAATATCTTGTACCATTGTCTTGGAACTTGTTTTAAACCATAAAGTGACCTTTTAAGAAGGCATACTAAGTCTGAATTTTTATTCACTTCAAAACCTTTAAGTTGTTCCATAAAATGATTTCTTCAAGATCTCCATTTAAAAAAGCAGTTTTTACATCTAATTGATCCAATTCCCAATTAAATTGAGCTGCTAGAGCAAGTATTACTCTAACAGTTGTAAATTTTACAACTGGAGAAAAGATTTCATTGAAATCTATTCCTTCTTTTTGGGCAAAACTCTTAGCCACAAGTCTTGCTTTGTATCTAATATCATTCTCGTCTTTTTCACCTCTTTTGATTTTAAAAATTCATTTACAATCTATAACTCTCTTTCCTTTAGGTCTCTTCACTAGGGTCCATGTTTTATTCTTCCTCAATGATTCCATTCATCAGGCATTGCAGTCAGCCAATGCTTAGAGTCCTTGCTACTCATAGCATCTTTATAGGACTCGGGTTCATTTTCAATGAACCCCTGAACATGAGAAGGGATATTTCATCATCAAATCTCACAGGTGGTCTTATTTATTTCATTTCTCTATCTCTAGCAAGTTGATAATCATTCAATGGTTGATTAACTTCATAATCAGATTCAATTTGATCAGTTTTATCATTATTTTGAACCTCAATTTCACTATATTCATTCTGATCAGATTGCAGATTATCATTATTAACTTGCTCCACCTCAATTTCAGTTTCCCTTCCTTCATTTTCAGTCTGACCAGATTCATTAGTTTTATTTTCAGATTTTAAACAAGGTAAATCAATCTCATTAAATACCACATTTCTACTTATAATGATCTTATAACCTTTGGTCTCTCTTATCCAAAATCTATACCCCTTTACCCCTTCATCGTAGCCCAAGAAAACATACTTAAGGGCCCTAGGTTCAAGTTTTCCCATAGACTGGTGTGCAAAGGCCGCACATCCAAATATTTTAAGATTACTTAAATCTACAGATTTTCCTGTCCAAACTTCTTCAAGGGATTAAAACTGTATAGCACTAGATGTGCTTCTGTTAATGAGATAACTAGCAGTTTTTGCAACTTCTCCCCAAAATAATTTGGGAAGACCAGAACCTAATAACATGCATCTAATTTTCTCAAGAATAGTTCGGTTCATTTTTTTAGCTAAGCCATTTTGTTGTGGGGTGTGTGTCACCGTTCTGTGTCTCAAAATGCCATGCAATTTGCACAATTTATCAAATTCATAATTGCAAAACTCAAGTCCATTATTAGTCCTCAACACTTTAATCTTTTTATTTGTTTGATTCTCAATCAATGTTTTCCATTCTTTAAAAACATTAAAAGTGTCAGACTTATTTTTAAGCAGAAAGAACCAGTTTTTTTTTAGAAAAATCATCTATGATTAAAAGAAAAATCTGAAACCAGTATGTGTGGGCACAGAAGCTGGTCCCCAAAGATCAGCATGCAAATATTCAAGAATAGACACAGATTTATACATCTCAGGCAGAAATGGTAATCTATTTTGCTTTCATAATATGTGATGATCACAAAAACTGAGTTTCTCAATTATATCTTTACCAAAGGCACCTTGTTTTTTCAAAATCTGAAGTCCTCTGTCACTAATATGGCCCAATCTTTTATGCCATAATTGTGACTTATCATTGGGGGCAGAAATTGCTGCTGATATAGAATTAAAAAAGTTTTGAGTGTGTAAAATGTAAAGTTCGTGTCTCTTGGGGGCTTCTGCAACTAATTGAGAGCCCCTCAAGATTTTTATGTATCTCTTGTTAATCACAATGTTGTAGTTCAGGTCATCTAGGACACCCAAGGATATCAAATTTTTTTGTAGGTCAGGAATATACTGGGTCTTCTCTAAGATCAATTCATTATTACCATCCAACCTTAAGGTGATTGTTCCTATTTCTTTTACCTGACAAGACATGTGATTACCCATTAACACTTGACCTCCATTTACATTTTCAAACACACTAAATCACTCTTTTTTAGGACACATATGAAAGGTGCAACCTGAGTCAAGGATCCACTCCCGACTAGGTGGACTGTGTGTAGCAACATAGACCTCATCTACATTGTACTCATTTTTATAAGCTAAGGCAGCAACACCATCATTATTAGACTTATTTTTCAAGTCATTAAGTCTCTTATGACAATCTTTGATAAAATAACCTTCACCTAGACAGTAAAAACATTTTTTTACCCTTAGTCTTGTTTTTCATTTTATCTTTAAAGTTCACCTTCTTCTTATATCCAGGTTTCTTATTGAAATTGGCCATCTTTGGGTTTGAATTAGGTTTGGACTTAACCATCAGATTTTCACCACTAATAGATTCTATTTTTTCAGATTTTAACTCTAATTCTTTATTTCTCAATGCATTTATTATCACGTCAGTAGCTAGAGTCTCCCTTCAATATTCAATAGCATTTTTAACATCTTTATATTTAGGGAAATTTGCAGTCGAGGTACCAAACATTTCATTTATTAGCAGACTTTACCCAAATTTTTAGTTTGTGCCACTTACGATACCAAATCTTTCAAAAACTCACAGTGAAAGTCTAAAGGATGGAAACTGTTAATTTGACCATTAGTTGAGCAAAGATTTAATATTGACCATTATTTTGACTAATTTTAAAAGGATAAAATGGTAACTTTACATTTTTCAACAAAAAAATAATTACAATATATTAATAATTAAATCAAAACACAAAAACACTATTCATCTTCTTCTCCATTCACCCCCTACCCACCCACCCCCCCCCCCCCCTAGATTGGCATGCTTTTTCTTCCCCTCAGCGAATTTCATGCATTCTACTCCCCTCTTTTCTCGCTATAGCTTTATTAACTAGTTCACCCACCCACCCACTCCACAAAACCAAAATCATAATTGGTCCTCTTCTCTTTCTCCACATTCTCATTCCCACCCTGACTATCCTCAACTACTGACACACTTAACTAATTCAATGGTTTTAACATGCGAGGCAGTCCCACGGGCACGTTATTCCCAGAGCTCTTATCAAACACATGATCATTTATTTGCTTCTCATTTGCCTCAATCTTCTTCATCAAACTCCAAACCATATTCCGCTCACCCTCCAGTTTCCTCTTCAGCTCTCGTGCCTCCTGTTTCGACTTCATCGACAAATTTATGGTAATACTATTCTCCGGCCTCAAAATCCCACCATTCCCTACCAACCCATCATGATTTAAACTCGAAAAATTATCCGAGGCAGCATCAACACAGGAATTAGCTAATATTTTCGTCACATTCGACCCCTCGGGAACCATTTCTTGGGTTTTTGGCTGTTGTTCGTTTGACAAATTTTTACTATTTTTAAGCCCTTTGAATGGTTTTCTCGTATAAACTTTACTCTCTGCACACTTCTTCTTTTCTTTAGACCCTTCATTTCCACCACCCAACATTGTCCCAAAAACCCAGCTTGCACACTCCTCAGAACTTCAAGAAAATCTTGATTTTCAGTATGTACAACTTTTACACACACACCCACCCACTTGTTTCCGTGCTTTGCCTGAAGATGGATAACAAGACGCTGCTCTTCTTCGATAAGAGATCCTTTCTTGATGTCAGGTTTAAGATAGTTTTTCCACCTTTCCAAACTGGATTTGGGAAGTGGATGGGTGGGTAGGGGTTGAATGGAGAAGAAGATGAATAGAGTTTTTGTGTTTTGTTTTAATTATTAATATATTGTAAATATTTTTTTAAAAAAATGTAAAATTACCATTTTATCCTTTTAAAATTAGTCAAAATAATGGTCAATGTTAAATATTTGGTCAACTAACGGTCAAATTAACAGTTTCCATCCATTTAACTTTCACTGCGAGTTTTTGAAAGGTTTGGCATCGTGGGTGGCACAAACTAAAGGCTTGGACAAAGTCTGCTAATAAACGAAATGTTTGATACCTCGATTGCAATTTTTCTTTATATTTATCACTTATTGAATTTAACAAAATCACAGCCAACTGATCTTTTGAGAGTTTCTCATCACAGTCAGTTAGGTCACGCGATAATCTGTTGAATCTATCAATATTTGCCTCAGGATCAAGAGATGAGTCCAATTTGAAACCAAAAAATTGTTTTGGAATATACACTTTATTAGACATGGTTTTATTCAAATAAGTATCTTCCAATTTTTTCCACAACTCAGCAGCAGTTTTTGTCTCTCCAATTTCTCTCAACACATTGTTAGACAAATGCAAGAACATATAATTCTATGCAATTTCATCAAATTCAATTTTCTTAATTTCTTCCATATCGTTAGGCCATGACTCATCAATGTCTTTAGCATATTTTTGTTGAAGTAAAATGGCTCGCATTTTCTGGTGTCAGAGACTAAGTCTCCCTTACCATTAAAAATTTCCGGTTCAACTTTTGTTGACATAATTAAAACACAATTTGATAATACAGTGTGCAGACAGATCACTTGCAGATATGATAGTATATATAACTTGCAAGAAGTCAAATATCATACACAATAAACAAAATTAGAGTGTACATTTAACAAGTTATATGTGTCAAATTATTCAGTAAGTAAACCCAACAGTTCATTCACTATAGAATAGGCAGTTTACTTAAAATCAGCACATATAAGGTCACATATATCTAAGTCACAATATGCTATGTACAAAGTAAGAAGTACATGCAAGAATCATGTAATGAAACTAGATTGATGACTGAAGTCAAGGCAACCCCAAGATTCCAGACAACTCAAGCGGTTTCTGGACATAGGTATTGCCAAGAGAAGTCACGAATCTAGGGTTTAAGGCTCGGTTGTAGAGATCTCACAGTACAGGCAACTATAATATAAATAACTCGAATAATATGGAACGAACTCACCAAAGAAACCTTGTTAGGGTTTCACGAAAATAACAAGTTCTACCGAACCAGTGCAAGAAACCTTCGAATCTTCCAACACTGGCGCTAAGAACCACCGTCAACTTGCTCTGATACCACAATTATGATGAGTTCAAGAAAATCAACCCCCTTTGTTTCACAAAAATAAGAAATAATAAACTGCAATTGAAAGAAACATAAAAGAAAACGCAAAGAACACGATATTTTCGTCGTAAGGCAAAAGGTTCGGAACCGGAGTTCCTAATCCCCTTTTGAGCTTCCGCCACCGGAAGGAATCACTATATTAACCGGAATCTCCAAAAATTACAGATTACAATTCATGGCACTCAGGCGAAATCACATCAAGATTTCGCACACAACAACCCACACTGCATATTAAAATATCCACTCAAGGATTACGCCCTATAAACCACTCAAGATCTATTATGGGGCTGAAATTACAATCAAATCTACAAGGGGCCTTTCTGAGTGCAAATGAGAATCGAAAAACGAACAATTGAGAGATAACAGAGAGTTCGAGAGAGAGAGAGAGAGAGAGCTGGTAAAAATGAAAAGTCACAGCCTCTCAAACCCTAGAAGCCAGCTTAATAGCAAAGGAGCTAGAAGGTTCCTCATCAACGGTGAGCAGAGTGACACTTGGCAAGATCTGGAGCGTCTGTTCTTATTAAAGAAAAACGGGTTTCAGCAACAGGTTTTATGCCAAACCAATCAGCCCAGCTCAAGTGACAAATTATCCAGTCCACAAGCCCATCAGTTTTAATAGTCCAACCCAATTATTATTGTGCCACAATATTTTTCTCTACATACATATTTCGATCCTCCTTCAAATTTTGGCATTGTTCCACTTTAGAAGAAACAACTTAAGACGTATTGAAAAAAGAATTGGTTGGAGGAAGAACAAACCGTGTGTACGGTAAATTTACTGTATGTAAATCTCAAAATTAACATTTGAACAATTGATAAATAAAATTACTTTATTTTCATAGTGTATACAATTATTAAAATAGACATTGATTAAGATAATGCCGTTATTATCATTGAACGTATTAGAAATTTTATTTATATTTTTACAACATGAATTATAATTAAATATTAGTCAAAGACAATATGTTGTTATTATTATTTTTAAAAATAATATCTATTAAATCTTGAAATTTATAAATTTAGAAATAAAGCATAGTCTACGCATTATTAATATAATTATGTATCTAATTTTGCAAAAGCCAAGGATCTAAGAGCCCCCAAAAAATTGAACTGGAACACAAATAATACAAAGTTCAACCATAAAATTATTCATTTCTCAAATAGCCTCAACATTTAAATTATTTATTTAAAAATATAATACTACTTTGAACAATGCCCTGCGTACAGGGCACTGTTCTACTGTAAGCCCCCTCATTGTAGCTACAGGAAAAAATTGTGCGGGCTCCACCCTTGTGTTTGTCCTAGCCGACCTCTGTAATTGCCCTCTATACGTGAAGCGCGATTCTACTACTTTCTCAAAAATGCAATCAATATTCATATGATAAACGACGTTCTTCTTTTCAAATCGACTCCTAATTCAATCGAAATCAGTTCTCATTTTTGCAAATCAACACAAGAAATATAAATATAAATATAAATATAAAAAAATAAAAATAAAATCCGTCACTCTCTCACATACGCATTTTCTTGTAATTGTCACCAATCCACAACCAATTTTCTCAACTCCAACCGATTAATAATAACGCTCTGACACTCCATGAATCTATCAACTACGTATTATTTATGAATCCTGAAATTATTTCCATTCACAATTTCCCAGATTTTCTCCTTCCTTTATTGCACCCTACGTCCCTCTGCTATCAATTAAGAAATTTCAATTCAATATTCCATTTTTCTTTCTCTATGTGCACATATACATACAAATCGTAGTCTGAAATTGGGGGATTTCAAGGCTATGGCGATTGCAGCAGCTGCTGTTATCGTGCCGTTGGGTGTTTTCTTTTTCCTATCTGGGCTCATTGTCAATTTCATTCAGGTTATGCATTTACCCAATAGACAAGATTAAAAATTGGTTTTTTTTTTTGTTTTTTTTTTTTAAAGGTTTCTGATACAAGATTGATTTATTTGAGCTAACTAAACTGCTTTTTCTCTAGCTCTGGCTGATCTGCTACCGTTTTTTAGGGTCTCTAAATTTTATTTTATTTTTTAATTTTTACTTGATTTTTCTTGAGTGATTTTCTTGTTATTTTGTTTTAATATATGTTATTCGTGCATGAAGTATTTTTGAATTCGAAGAAATGTGACAAAGTTTATTGGGGGATTTTCAGGCAGTATGTTTTGTGCTAATAAGGCCATTGTCGAAGAACACTTACAGGAGGATAAATAGAGCAGTGGCAGAGCTGTTGTGGCTCGAGCTTGTTTGGCTGGTTGACTGGTGGGCCGGAGTTAAGGTGAAAAAATCTAAGCATGCCATTGCATTTCTGATATTGCATCGTTTGATTATATCATTTGTTGATTGCAGCATAAGCTCGTTTCTAAAATACATTAACGTCTTTTTAGTCTCCAATCTCCATCATGTTATGAAGAACAGGTTTATAATTGAAAGTCTGGATCATAGTAACTGTAATTTCGAATATCCAGGCTCTTAAGTGAAGTTGGTTTATTTCTATGTAAGAGTAATAATATTGCTGTTGATTCACCTGGGAAATTTCAATCACTAAATATGGGAATTGTTGCGATGATCAAGTTATTTTCACCTTTACAGATTTTTTTATTTTTTTTCCCCCCTAGATCCCATGTTATCTGACAATTGTTGGGTGCCTTTGGAATCAAGTGCAAGTATTCGTGAAGTTAGGTCTAAAGCTTCAAATACTGTTTACTTAAAGGGTTATAAAGTTGTGGCTTGGTTTACCAGGCTTAAACATTACTTTAATGCTTAACAGTGGATGAAATGTATCTTTATTTTTTTAATTTCACAAGTACCACGGAATGTATCTGTCTATTTGTTAAAGTCTTCTTGAATAATGGCAATAAGCTATATGATTTAGTAATTCATTGTTGAGCAATGCCACAATTTGTCGTTACCATTACGTCATTTTGGCACTCACAGCTTCAGCCTTTACTTTGTAAGATCTTTTGGTAAAGCTATGGTATGGTAAATTTAGTAAGCTCCTTGGACCTAAATGCTAGAATGTTCTGAATGAATTTTGTGCTTTTACATTATATATTTTGTGATCATTTTACATTTATTTTATCTACATGTAAAGAAGCTATTTATTATGTGATTTTATGCTGTTATATTTCTAAATTTAATTTGATAGAGCCAGAAATAAGAAGATACATAATCGATTAGTTCTTCAAAAGAAAATCTGAACCATGTAACTGTAGTTCATTTGCCACAAATATGGACTTCAAATTCTTCAAATGTCATTTTTGTAGCTAGTATTGATCTCTTATTGAGAAAATTTAGGATATTTTATTTTGATGTGTCATTTTCTGTTAGTTCTAGCATTGTCTACTTAGAAAGATATCATAGTTAGAAAGGATGTGTTATCGTATGCGTAGGAAGAAAAGAATCCCCGCTTTTAATTTTTAAATTTTTGTCACTTCTTCAGAATCACCTGACTGTCCATCCATCCCTCATTGTAACTCTTCTGATTGCAGATCCAAGTGTACACGGATTCTGAAACCTTTAAATTGATGGGTAAGGCTAAAACTTATGTTTATTGAATTCAATTTTCATCTTTGTACTTGGAAAAGGATGAAGTGCCTTGCTTGTCTCACTCGAGAATTATCAAATTGTGCTGGTGAACATCTAGGTCAAGAACATGCACTCGTCATATGTAATCATAGAAGCGACATCGATTGGCTTGTAGGATGGGTTTTGGCTCAGGTTAGCAGTCTGATCATTGCTTCCATGCAGCTCTGCATTTACTCGTGCATATAGGAAAATTTTCGAATTTCTTATTTATGTTATACATAGAAGAGCACTTTGCTAAAAACGCATCACATGTTTATCAGTGAATTAAGTTTTTCAATGGTCACTGAACTTAGGTTCATGTCTTTGATTAGTCACAGAAATTTAAAATGTGGAGTTTTGGTCAGTAAATTTAGGTCAATGTCTTCGATTGTTTACTGAAACTTAAAATGTAGAATTTTGACCACTAAACTTTGGAAAATATTGTACGTTACTTACTAGCATAAATGTTGAATTTTGAAAATGTTGATTTTACAGTGAGTAATATATAATATTTTTCAAAGTTCAATGGCCAAAATTCGACGTTTTAAATTTCAATGAGCAATCGAAAATATGGACCTAAGTTCAGTGACCAAAACTCGACATTTTAAATTTCAATGACCAATCAAAGACATGGATCTAAGTTCAGTGATCATTGGAACAATTAACTCCTTTATTAGTAACTAATGTCAGCTAAGATCCTCAGGTTTATGAATTATGAATCTGTTCAGTTCTCAGTGCAAAAGACTTTTAGTTAGGAAGAGTACCATAAAGAAATAATTAACAAAAGTGGAAGCAGTATTTATAATCTTCTGTCTTATAGGTTATTCCTGATATTTGTGGAAATTGTAATCTTAATAAATGTACTATCAGGATTGATAAATTAGTCTTTGAAGGCTTAATAAGGACTGCTCCTATGTAGTCACAAGTACCAGTTTGTGGTATTTGATATACATATTGCATAATATTTCTTGTTCTCTGTAACTGCTTGTCAACCGTTGCTGTCAAAATGGTCTTTGGCATTTCCCATATACAAAATTCTTAAATAACTATGATGACAACCAATTATAACTTTTGAACCAACTATAAAAACACATTAAGGGTGTTGGACCTAGAAATTCTAGGATTACTGCAGCAAATTTGGTGACTCGTTTCGATTAAAACTGAATTTATTGCCCTGCGTTAGTAATCTAATTTGTTTTCAGGAGTGGCGGTTGCAGGGCGGGTATTACACGTACTTTTCACATGGTCTACCCATATTGTTTATGACATTAGTTAAAACAGAACAAAATCATTTTTTGCATGGGTTTTCATTCAAGTTTCCCACTATATAATGCAGTTTAGAAATTTTGTACTTTTCCTGTTTGTATATACGACTGAAACCTTGAGGAGTTAAATAAAGGTCATTAGTAGTACAAACCTATAACATACCAGTTTGTATATTTCCAAGAAGAACTTTATAAGTTATTACACATTACTCCACAAGATTCTGTACTGTTTACTGATATCATAATGGGACAAATATGTTGCACGAGACAAATTTGTACAATTATACTTTTGTCGTCTTTGTGGATTAAGTTACAGATAGAGAGGGTGGTGCGTTTCTTGAGTTGAGTGGAAGCAATAGTGAATTTTATGGATTGTTCCATAAGGAAGCAAAATTTTTTTTTTTTTGATAGGTAATCAAATAATTTTATTACTTAAAAGAGAATACACGGGGGGTGTACAATCACTTTAAGCTATTAAGGAAAAACATGAAATTAGGCAACCCATCTACAGGATTTCTAGCCACAATATTAAACCAAGAATACAAGGTAAAGTAAAATGTTTCTCTTATCTGCTCTCTTGTCTTTGTTTGGTCTTCGAAGCAACGGTTGTTCCTTTCTCTCCACACGCACCAAACAATGCAGCCCGGGATAAGGTGCCATACTAATTTGCTATCCTTATCCCGAAGTTTTCTACGCCATGCCCGTATCACGTCCTCTATATGACGAGGCATCACCCAATCCATAGATTGTGAACTGATTATACTGTTCCAAATCCAACGTACACCATCACAATGAATGAACAAATGATCAATCGTCTCCCCATCCTTCTTGCACATATAACACCACTCGGTTGCATAAAAACCTTTACGACGAAGATTATCTACCGTTGAGACCTGTCCCCTCACAACTGTCCACAATAGGAATGCCACCCGAGGAGGCAATTTACACTGCCAAACCAACTTTCATGGGAATGAATTATTCACACATCCCATGAGGGAACCAAAGTATGAGCGAACTGAAAAAATGTCATCCTGTGCTGTCCTCCACCTGATGCAATCCCTCTCTCCAATCCGAATTTGGGCATCATGTAAAATGGTCATAAATAGAGAATAATCTTCTAATTCCCAATCCTGAAGATCCCTCCCAAAAGTTATATTCCAGCTATAACTCCCATTATGAATGTCTAAGGAATCACTCACCATGGCAGTGGACACTGAGGCAATACGATACAAAGAAGGGAATCTCTCCTTCAGCGGTTGATCTCCGCACCAACAATCATCCCAAAATTTAATCTCATTACCATTTCCAACCACAAACTTCAGTTTGTCCAAAAATGTACTCCATCCCCGTCGGATATACCTCCACAAGCTCACCCCATAAGAACCACGATCCTCAAATGTACACCATCCCCCATTGGTCACACCATACTCCGCCCCAATTATTTCTCTCCAGAAACTGTCCCTCTCCACTCCAAATCACCACAACCACTTGCCTAATAAGGCTTTATTGAACAACACAAAGCTCCTCACCCCAAGACCTCCCATCCTCATCGGCAAACAAACAACTCCCCAATTGACCAAATGGAGTCTCCTCTCCTCTCCCAACCCTGCCCACAGAAATTCTCTTTGAAGCCTCTCTAGTCTCTTTGCCACTGCTATCGGAATGGGGAACAATGACAAAAAGTAAGTAGGGAGATTGGAGAGAGTGGATTTAATGAGAGTAAGTCTACCACCCTTAGAAAGGTACATACGCTTCCACCCTGCTAACCTTCTCTCCATCCTTTCTACAATACCATTCCAGATATGGGTACTTTTAAATCGTGCCCCTAATGGGAGTCCTAGATATGACATCGGCAACTGCGCAACCTTACAACCCAATATATCAGCCAGCTCCTCGACATTATTAATCTCCCCAACTGGGATAGCCTCAGACTTTCTCAAATTAATTTTCAAACCAGACACCGCTTCAAAACATAAGAGCAGACGGCGCAAGTTCCTGAATTGTTCTACATCTGCATCACATAAGATCAGCGTGTCATCTGCAAATAACAGATGAGACACCTGCAATTGATCAACCATAAAACCCTTTATCAAACCCGCTCTCACTGCTCTTTCAATCATCCTACTGAGAGCCTCCATCACAATGACAAATAACAATGGGGATAATGGATCCCCTTGTCTCAAGCCTCTATTGCTCCGGAAATAATCTTCTGGTGTTCCGTTGACCAAAACTGAGAATGAAACAGTAGAAATACAGAATTGAATCCATTTACACCATTTATCCCCAAAGCCACAGCGCCTGAGCATATATAACAAGAAACCCCAATTCACATGGTCGTAAGCCTTCTGAATATCTAGCTTACAAAGCATCCCTGGGGCCCTTAGGCGCATTCTTGAATCTATGCATTCATTCGTTATAAGCACAGAGTCCAAAATCTGACGTCCTTTTACAAATGCATTCTGAAACTTGGACACTACTTTTCCCAGTACCTCCTTTAATCTGTTTGCCAGGACTTTCGAAATAATCTTATACACCCCGCTGACAAGGCTAATGGGGCGAAAGTCCTTAATATCAGTCGCTCCCGGTTTCTTAGGGATGAGCACAATAAATGTGGCATTAGAACTTCTCTGAAATCTGCCACGTTCAAAAAAATAAGATAAAGTATTCACAATGTTCAGTCGAACCACATCCCAACACGCTTTGTAGAATGAGAACGAGAAACCGTTCGGTCCCGGGGCCTTATCATCGTTCATGTTGAAAACGACCTCCTTAATTTCATCCTCCCCAAATGGTCTCTCCATCCATCGGGCATCATCCTCATTGATTGTAGAAAAATGCAATCCCTCCAATTCTGGTCTCCATTCAAATTGCTCCCGATAGAGGTTCTGATAAAAATGAACCAGTTAGCTTCCAATTTCCTGTGGTTCCTCATAAGTAACCCCATCCACCTCCAAAACTGTGATGAAGTTGTTCCTCCTATTAGAATTGGCGACCCTGTGGAAGAATTTAGTGCATTTATCCCCCTCTTTCAACCAAGTAACTCTAGATTTCTGTCGCCAATTAATCTCCTCCATCTCTACCAACCTCTCCATCTCTTCCTTTAATCCTCTATGTCTCTCCTTCTCCTCCCCAGTCAACCCCTCACTCTCCTCCCGCCTATCCAATTCCTCTATTTCTGACAGACACTGATTTTTACTACAGTTAACATTGCCTACAACTTCCTCATTCCATTTTTTTAAGTCCCCTTTCAACGCCTTTAGCTTCTGATCCAAAACAAAACAAGGAGACCCACTGACTTCATAGGAAGTCCACCACGTCTGTACTCGCTCCCTAAAACGTTCTACTTTCAACCACATCTTCTCAAACTTGAAAGGTCTTCTTCCACCACCCCTTCTATTCCCCGATAACATAATAGGAAAATGATCCGAGTATACCCTCCCCAATCTTCTCTGAGTGACATCTGAATATTTAGACTCCCACTCCCCACAAATCAAGAACCTATCAATACGAGACAGAACGGGATGATCCCGATTGGATGACCAGGTAAAATCTCCCCCAATCATAGGTAAATCCACCAACAAATTCTCCCTAATAAAATCTGAGAACTCCTCCATTGCCCTAGTTAGTCTCCCACCACTCGACCTCTCCGACGGAAATCGAATCACGTTGAAATCACCCCCAATACATGTAGGGAGATTCCACCAAGCCCTCATTCCAGCCAGTTCATCCCACAAACCCACTCTACTGTCATCAGAATTAGGCCCATAAACTCCTGTGAACATCCACCGAAATCCATCCTCACAATTTTTGAAAGAAATCGATATAGAGAACACCCCTATACTCACCTCCTTCATCTCAAGCACTCTAGTGTCCCACATCACCAACACGCCTCCTGAAATCCCTGATGACCCCAAAAACTGATATCCAACATGATCTCCTCCCCATAAACTACGAATCACCGCCCTCGAGATAAACTCCATCTTAGTTTCTTGTAGGCAAACAAGATTTGCACCCCATCCCCTTAGCAAATGACGAACACCAAGCCTTTTACTAACCTCATTGAGACCCCTTACGTTCCAACAAATGAGTTTTGGCATCATTGTAACACTCCATAACCCCTCCCCATTGTTCATTTCTTGGTCTCGCCACCCTTACCAGCGTAGTTTACTGACCATTCGAGCCTCTTAAGCTCACGATCACCCTTTTTTCTTAATTTATTTCCATGTGTACTGATGTCTTGTCCCCTATTAGCCTCCAACTCCTTGAATAATTGTAGCAATCTACTTTCATACCCATCACATGACACGCCAACCAACTTACTGAATTCCTGAATTTTATGTAACACCCAGTTTGAAGGTGGGTGACCAACTTCGAACACATCAGCTCCTGAAGTATCCTCACCCTGATAGCCCTCGAGATGATCAAAGGACCGTTCTTTCTCTTCCATCACTGGTATAATGTCACTGTCACTTTCTCCTTTCTTGGCACCACCTACCCATAACACCAAAGCTTTTTCGGTCCCCATATCGTTATCTTTTGTCCTCCTATTATAAGTGTTCGTAATCTTTGATGTCGTTTGTGTATCGTTGTTTTCTTTCACTGTGTCCATTGACAATTTCTCCAAGTTCACCATACTGAACTCCCCTTCCTTAGACAGTGGTTCCTCTTCTCGTTCAACTGTAATCCCTGTGTCTACTTCAGTTCGGTTGACCCCCACAAAGTCAGCCCTGTCATCGTTTTCATTGTATCCCGCTTCCATCCTCACCTGAGAATCACAATGTTCATCTCCTCCCTGCTTTGCATGTTCTGTAATTGGTGGTAGTTCCTCATGAGTCAATCCCGGTGCGTGTATTTCACCGGTTTGATCCTCATCCAACTCAACCCCACACTTGTGACAACGTACCAATTTCATGGGCTCCATTTCAGGCCCGCTTCCAACCAGTCTAAGTAATTCATCTAGTGCTCCTTTCAACTCCTGCGCACGGGTCATTATTTCAACCCTATTCAAACAAATGTCGTGACCTTCGTTATCTCCGACTTTATTTCTCCTTTCCTTTTGCTGAAACGTCTGTTAGTTAGCATTCTCCA